GTTTTTTTTTTATGGTGCAATAACCACAAAATGAAAGACGCAGGGCATAAAGCACAATTGATAGAGGAATTTTAGCCCCAAAAAATCGAGAAAAAGAGAACAGAAATGGTAATGATGTGATCGCCATTTAATGATGATTCAAGTTTTATTTTTATAAATTTTTATATAGATGTATAATTTAATCGTTATTTATTATTATGTTTATTTTGTTCTCATGAGATATAATATATATAATATATTAAATATGAATAAAGTTGAAAAATTCTTAACCTTTGTACGAGAGTTAATAAAATTTAAAGTTTTTTTTAATCCGTATGAAACATGTTGAAAATGACATATAAATAAATAGTTCCTAATTAGATTTATATTAAAGATCAAGAAGTAGTTTTTTTTTTTCCACCAAAATGTAAAGACTTATCCAATCCTGTTTATAAGTTACATTTGATATGTTTTACACAGAAAAAAATTTTAATTTAATTAATTCTAATTTAAAATTTAATAAATTTTTAACTTTATCCTCATTTAATATATATTATATCTTATGTAAACAAAATCAACGCAATAATAAATAAAAGGTAAAATTATATATGTATACAAAAAAAATTTCTGAGTATCTCATAGATATAATCAAAAAATATCTTCTCTTTCTTCACCATTATTTTTCAAGGAAAATACAATTTTCATAACATTATGTGAGGAAATGATTTTTCAGAATTTATTGAGAAAGAAATGAAATGTGTTTTAAACGAATTAAACATAAGAAAATGTTGGTTTTATTTTTTCCATTTCTTTTTACGGGGACTCATTTCGAGTGAACCAAACGAGGCGTTAAGTTGTTGAGGAAAGCGGAAGCTACGAAGTGGTGGATTGGGACGTCAGCACGTGCCTTTCATCTGCTGCGTTCAACAGACACGTCCCGTCCCCACACCAATTACATATTAGCTGCACCAACTCTTGTTGCTCCTCTCTTCCAAACCCAAACAATTTTGGTTTTTCATTTCGCCGGCTGTCCACCGCCATCACCCCACCATCATCGAACATGGCTGCCTCCTGTTTCCTCACTCTTCGATCCTCCGTCACCAAACCCTCCAACAGGCCCTTCTTCTTCAACCCCATCAAGGTCTCATCTTTCTTCTCTTTCTGCTTCTTAATCATTCCCTGCCTTTTTCTTTCTTTTCTGTAAAATTACGTACTTTCTGTCACCTTCTTGGCTTGTGAATTCTGCAATACCCACCTGGGTAGGAAAATTGTTTTGGGGAAACCCAATGTGGGGTTCTCACTGATTTGCTGTCTGTGCGTGTATTTTTCTGAGTTTCTCTGCCTTTTTTATGATTGCCACTTTTTGTTGACTTCTTGTTTTGTGAATCTTCTTCTTTTATTTTCGGGAAATTTTGATCGGGGAAACCCAATTGTGGCGTTCTGATTGATTGTTTTGGTTATTGGTCCAATGTTCTGTGATTGATATGACTTGTACTGTTCTGTCGGTTGATTTTGTAAGCACTTTTTCTGCATAATGTTTGAGAGTGAAAATTAAAGGGTTGTTAAGTCGATTGAAACCTCATGGAAAGTGAATTCGCCAGCATCTTACCCTTCAAACATCAAAAGTCATCTATGTTCCAATGGATTCGGTGTTTGGGAATGGAAGTTTAGGGGAATCAAGGAGGCTAAAATCACAAGGCAAGTGAGCTTTTGTGCTTCTGAAGCTTCAATGTAATATACACTCCATTAGGTTCCCAATTTTCCTTTGCTGTTAGGGTAACCTAAGCATCAAACCTAAGAAAGAAGGAGACCCCACAAAATACAGCGTTAGAGTTTGGAATCTGATTTTTTGAGTTTCAATCAGATACCATATGTTGTTTTGTCTCAGTATAAAGAACATTGTTTGAAATTGTGATAATTCATTAAACAAAGTAATTTCTTGTTCCGTGTGTAATGAATGGGCTGTTTGGAATCAGAACTTCGGGCAATCAACCCGAGGGAACCATAGAGTGGAAGAGAGGGCACCGTCAACAGCTGAGGAATTCCAGAGAGTTGCAGAGGAGAAAGCAAGGGAATCCAAGGAGGGAATAGCAAGCCAAACAACAGAAAGGACCTATGATGCAGCAGAGGAAGCTGCCAGGGTTGACTCCAACGTTGGATCAGTGAAGAACAGGTACAAGGAACATGAACCTGACACTGATTACCGCAGGACTGGAAATTAGAAAGCTGTGTGTGAAGCAGCAACAATAAGAGAATGTCTTTGTTTTCAACAGCCTGTCCTTTTTTTTTTCCCTCAACTTTTTCTTGTGTTAGAAGAAATCAAACCCTTTTTATTACTTTAATTGGTCTTCATATTTTCTGATCTTAATGATTCATATGGGATTATTATGCCAGTTGGTGGTGAGTTTACTGATCATGGGCTGAGAAAAATTGTTTAAAAGTAGTTTTAATTTTGTTATATCAGAAAACCTTTCTCTGCCATAAATATATATTGCTTTCGTGGTCCTGGCCTGTCAAAATAAAGTACACAACTCATAATAATCTATGTGGAGGTACCCATTGTTTATCCTAATGCCAGACATGGTGCTTTGTGTGGGGGAGACTATTTAATATTTATATTGTTTATTTTTTTGATATGCATCGAAAGGCTTGAACCTCGGACTTGAATCTCATTTCATCCGAGGTAGACTCAAGCGGATAGCTTGTATCATATAAATTATAGGCTATAGGATACATGTTATAAATTATATGAGCTATAAATTGAAGTGTTGAGATTGCGGAGGATGCTCAGCCAGCTGCCCAGCTGGGATTGAAAGATGAAAGGGAATGATGGGTATGGCTGTTAAAGTTGTTCTTATCCATTATCCAACCAACTCTACAAGTGGGGGTGCTGTGGGCCAAAATTTGACTGCCTAGGTTCAGTGGTGAAGTATGGGTGGGCGAGTGGTCATTTTTCTTAATCTATCTAAGTTAAGTAAATTTTATATTGAAAGTAGGGAAATATCATATACATGATTGAGGTATGATGTGTCGCAATTATTTTTATTTAGGTCTTAGAAGCCGAGGGATCCTTTAGAACTTGGGAGATGCTGCTGGAGTGTCAGATGGGATAAGGAGGATAAGATAGTGATGAAGGAGTTTGAAAAATTCGGCAAAATGTTATCATCAGTGTCGTTTTATTGGGATTCGGATAATTAAGACAATTGTGTGTGTGATTGCGGAAAAGAAAGCGACCACGAAGATGTAAGCCCCGTTCTGTTAGTCGCACATGGGACCATGTGAATGACTGTGTTATTGGCCAAATTTGTTGGGCCGGAAATCGGTGGGCTCCACACGTGTCTCAGCCCATCCAACCATCATATGGTTGATTTAATTTTCGTGCTCCAACGACGCCGATACCGACGCTGCATCTCTGCAGACTGGGCCCGGGGACTTTCCTGAGTCTGATTTAGTAGCGACCAGCGACCACATCACATCACTTCGTGGTCCGAGTTAGCCACCGCAGTTGCTGCCGCCAATATAAGGCCTTTCAAAACCGTTCTCTTGAAAGGTGTGGGACATCACATATATGCAAAGTTAGTACATCTCATAATCCAAAAGTCATGAGTTTAAACCTTAATATAAAGACTCTGTTAATAAATAATCTGTAAATATCTTTATAAATACTTTTTAAGTATGGAGGTATGTTTAATCCTAATGAGTCTCATGATCCAAATCACCTAAATTTATTATTCTCATGATTCAAATCACCTAAATTATTATGTAACAAAAAAACATGAGAGAGAAAGAGGGGGAGGGAGGGAGAAAAAGAGTTATCATTCTAGGTCTTATTATTATAAGTTATTTGTAACTTATTCTCACATATTAAAAATACATTAAATTGATTAAAAAAAATTTTAAATTTACTCTTATTAAAGGCTTTTTTCTTTATCTATATTTACGAATCATTTTCACATCTTTCTCTTCCTTCTCTCTCTCTGAAGATAATTAAATAACGGCAAAATTGAAAAATAAACATTAAATGAGCCCTGCATAACTGCGTCTTTCTCACCCCAAGAAGTATTTCTTGATGGTGGAAAACCCCTTAACGCACTTTAAAAAGTATTTTTACTCCGAGACAAAAATCATTATCGTATATATCACTCAAGTTAATCCAAACACCTAATCATGTATATTCTGATGGCAAAAGAACATGAACATAATCGTATCAACTACTCTCAAAGGAATGGCAGACAAAATTGGTGGTTCGAAAATAGTTACTACGAGCAGTCCCATTAAATGTGCAATTGAAATTGGTGTGATAACATTCCCAGCATTTCATTAATAAGGTATCCTTTTCACAAGTGTACAGAATCATCAGTACAAATTGCCATTAAATTTTCATGCTTTACTTGCCGGCTGCTTCTATTTCATTTTCCACAAACCAAAAGGCCACTTTATTTTGCAGCCTCCCCTATTTATTTCAACTCATTCTAACTTAATAAAACAGGAGCACTACCTATTTGAACGTGTGCTGACCATGGCTGAACAAACTCAATTCAAATTTTGGTGTTGAAAAAACTATGCCCACGCTGAAAACCTATTCTATATTTGGCCCTATTAATACTCAAATATGAATCAGTCAATAATACAAAAATGGATATAATCATAATAAACAAATAAAACTATACGTGTTTTATGCGTATTGTTATTTATCAGTACTCCCATATTTGGTTTTGGCCTACATTAGTACAATTTATCATCCAATCAGTTTGATATATAACCTGATCTAACAACTTTTTGGTCATTTTCATGTGAGAAATTTAAAAATAATCCACAAAATAAAATTTCATATGAATTTTTGGCTAATTCCGGGCTATATATGGAACAAACACTCTAAACTGTGCCTCTGAAAATAAAGCCACTTTCACTATCCAATGCTATAACTTTTTTCTAAGTATTTTTGGTATTTGCAATCTGTGTCCCTATATATTGTTTTAATTCCACCCTCAGCATTACAATTTTATCATTATTAACCCCAATTAACCATCACTGATGAAAGCCAAATTAGCTTCTTCTTCATCACTAAAAGCTTCCTCTTCTTGTGCTCTGTTCAATCTGGCAAACACCCCAACTAATGCGGCTGTATTGTAAGTGCATGCTTCCGTCTGCACGTAATTCCCCCTGTCGTCGTTAAACCCGTCCGTACTATTGGGCCCACCCACAAGGGCCCCAACCAGTACATTAGGGTTAGGATCACGGCGTCCATACCAGTCATCATAGCCCTGCGTGCATCCAATAAAACCCTTATTCTCTTTGTATGACCCAATGGATGCGCCCCTATGGTGCACCCTCAGGGGGAAGTGGGGTCCATAGCCAACCAAATAGCTCGTTCTCATTGGATTGGAACCCAAGATGTAGTCCACCTGTGATTTTGCGAAGGCTAGGATCTCCTGCGGAGAAACCTCTCCTTTGTCGCAGTGGAGCCTCTGACCTGCGGCTCGGAGATGATCGGAGTAGACAGTGAGGAGAAACGACGCCGTTGAGACGTATTGCATGTTGTTCCACTGGCGGACGTAGAGTAAGCCCCCTGGGGTGAGACGCACGTTAGTGGAGTTGTTTTGGCCGAGGCAGGCGCAGAGATAGTGCTCTGCTTTTGAACGGTACTGTTGGAGTATGACTTGGTTTTTATTTTTCAGGGGTTTTTCTTCCATGAGCAGCTGAAAAAGGGAAAGAAATAAAACGGAAAATGCTGAGGTTGACCATTGAGAAAATAATACTAACATTAATGGAAATTTAATGATTTCTAAATATATTATCATGTATTAGTTTTGAGATTTGACCAATGTATGAAGTGTAGGAGTAGTTACTGAATTTTCTGTTCAATTTTCGCAACTATAACCCAAACATATTCTGGAAGATTTGGAAAGATACAAGGTAGGAATCTGAGTTGATGAAGTGCTGAACCAAAAAATCTAGTAAATAAAAAAAGAAGTTAATTACCATAAAGTCGAAAAGAAAAGGACGGTGTAATATATGGTTACCATGGAAGCAATGGATTGGACGCCGGCATATTTGATATCCCAACTAAATTCGGCGATGGCCCAAGTGGCCCCACCAAAGTCATAAGCATTCTCCAAAACATAGTTTAAATAGTCATCACTTTGGGTGGCCTTGTACAGCCATATGGCTGCCCACAGTAACTCGTCCCTGTACCCGCTCACAGACGAATAATACCCTTTAGCCACTCCAATGCTGTCATCATACTTCCCCCTGTACTTGTCCCCAAACTCAAATAACTGCACCATCAACAACAACCAATTAAGCATCTCAACATATTCTCTAACATTATACCAATTGATTAAAAATTAATTAATCTGAGTTATATGGAAATGGGCTGTTAGTTAACTAAATAACTAGCGTACCTGTTGTGCATGGTGCAATAGTAGGTGAGAGTAATGTGGATTTGTTCTCCTAAACACTATAGAAGCGGCCGCCATTGCCGCCGCCGTTTCTCCGGCAACCTCCGAGCCGGGGTTGTTGGCGTCCACTTTGTATGCTCGCCGGGATGTCGTCATATCCTCCGGCCTTTGCCAGCAGTAATGATCCGTGCCGCCGTCGCCCACCTGAAAAAGATTAACTTTCTCAGAGGTATTTAATTGAAAAAAAACATATATGACTGGTTAGCCTCATTTCACTATTTAGATTTTTGACTCGGTAATTCCAATTCTCAGTGAACAATCCCATAATTTCATTCCCCCCATGTGCCGCCGCGAGTGAGACACGCGCCAATCACGGTAGCGAGGTTGGTCAGCTCTGAAACTCATGGAGGATCCGCTGATTGCTCTGACATCTGATTCAGTCCATATTTCTCTAGTGATTATGGACGTCGGAAGCACCACCTGCCTAAACGGCGGCGCATGGGATTTATATTCTCCGCGCTCACTCTTGGTAAAGTTATATACTCAAATCACAGAATAATACACTATTGAAATAACAATAATGTAGCAGACAGAAGTCAATGAGAATATATTGTACTGATAGGAAATCACCTGTGCCCAAAGAACATGAGGGTGCGTGTGTGCCTTGATGAAATAATCAGTGCCCCACTTGATAGCCTCGAGAGCGTGTTCGTACTCGCCGGCGCCGGCAATAAGGTCACTGTATTCGATGACTGCCCAAGAGAGCAACGTGATGGTGAATGCCATGGGAAGTCCAAACTTGACATTATCTCCGGCATCATAGTACCCTCCCACCAAGTCCACCTAACGGAACACAAAACGTGAATGAGGACCCAATGTGAGAGAGAGAGAGAGAGAGAAATGGAGGTATTGCAGGGTACTTACCCCTTGTTCGAGGCCGTCGGTGAGGCCAGAATGGTGGCGCCAGGTGGCCCTCTGGTTGTGGGGTAAGTGACCGGAACGCTGAGACTCGAAGTAGAGGAGGCTGTGAGAGAGAGCTTGCTTGTAGTTGAAGGAACGGCACGAAGCAGATGGGAAGAAGAAGGAGGTTGATGACAGAAAGACAAAAGCCATAAGCCATGTGCTTGGGTTCTGCGTTCTGACTTGTTTCTTCTGATTCGCCTCCATTTTGATTGCTTCTCTTTCTCAGAGTCTCTCTGTGTATTTATACGTGAGGCGTTTCGTAAAGTGATCGAGGAGGGAGACTACTGGAGGAGGCAGGGATCAGATGAGGGCATGTTCATGGGGAATTGGCATGCAGGCTCATTCTGATTGGTTTAATTTATGACTCAATATTGTGCACTAAGTTCCAACTGCATGGGTCAACTTATAATAGAAATTAACATATTGTTAAAAAGAAAAAAAAAATGAAGAATTCTTTTTTTTCTAAAGATTATATTTTAACTTTTATTATATTTCAAAAATGAAATCAGTTCTTTTCCATATTAGGAGTACCTGCTTTATAAGCAAGAGAGGGGAATAAAGAGATGAGTGTGAATGTTAGTCATAAGCATGTGTGATTTCACATGTCCTCTTTATTTATCTTTACAGTTGAGCTAAAAGTGCACCTGGGGGGGAGATCCAGTTCATTCATAAAAGGGGCATCAATAATTATTCAATACCATTATCAATATTTTAATGTACCTTTTTTTAATTTGCATAAAATATGAAAAATAATGTGCTCTTTGATTTTTAGTAGTGGTAAGGGGGGTGAGAAGCAAGGGTGAAATTTCAAATATGATGTCAGAGAAGGAAGTGAACATCTGAGCCCATCATAATTAAAGGCAGTAATTGAATTAATACATGATTGGATTACTGAGAATCCAAAATATTAATATCAGTGTGGCCAGTGAAAAATTAGGATCTCTCATCATGAGGTCAGTTATATTCACAAATAAAGAAGGCTATTAATTGTGCCCCACAAAAACAGAATATTTTATTATGTACAGAATATATTTAGTGCAAGAGCCATGTTAATCCTTTCTGTATCATTCTCATTTTATCATGTTTTTTAAGGGAGGTTATACAGTTTATGAGGGTTCTTTTTTCCCCCTTGGTAACATAGTGTATGAGGTTTAAATTGGTATATAATGACAATAAGTACAAATGACATTTGGCATACATAAGCAAAAGAATCGTAGTCTCTGAAAAATAAAAACCAGTTATGTAGCATTCGCATTGAAAATTCAAATACTATTTTTTTCAGTTCCTAATATAAAAGCCGATTGATTCAAATTACTAAATTACTTTAAACTATTTATATTTATTATTTTTTTCTGAACTAATTTGTCTTAGTTATAAATTGATATATAATTTAATAATACATATAAACATTTTAAAAAGATTACATAACATATGCTATAATTAATTTCATATTTTTCTTAATTTTTTTAAATTAGTCAATTACTCCTCCGGTCCTTATTATAAGACCCAATTTGACTTTTTATTTGGTCCTAATTATAAGACCCAATCCATTTTCTCTCTTATATTTATGCATTTTTTTCCGAGATAATCCTTCTAATAATGATAGTTTTAGCCAATATACTTAATTAGCAAGGATATTTTAGGAATGACAACACTTATTTATTATAAATAACCAACTTAACTTACTTCCTTAATCTCCTCAAATAAGTCAATTGGGTCTTATAATTAGGACCGGAGGAGTATGTCTTATATTAAATTAAAAACTAAAACAATCCCATTTAGGAACACCTGTAATAACCAACTTGCAAAATGAATCTGGATCCCTCTTGGTAGTCGGAACAAATTAGTCAAAATAATTTATAACACGGTAGGACCGCAACACAATCTTTTACACTATGGCGAGAAGCATTTGAGCTCAGCGTTCCGGCATTTTAATGTTATAGTTGAAGTCAGATTTTTCACTGTTATACATCGATGAAATTCTGCTAGGCCCTGTTTTCATTTTTATTATCAAGGCGAGGTGGGAATGAATCTGGTGCATTTCTTCTTGTATATTTCCCAAATTCCATTAGTTCAATAACCATATTGAATTGGCAATAAAAACCCAGACAACCGTAAAACTTGAAGACAAACTTTACACAAAACTAATAAAAACAGGATTTAAAATAAAAGCAAAACTGCGAATAAATTTCACACACAGAGGAACGACAGTGATTCGAGATATTGTATCATACATCAAAGTTAGTGAGAAACTACTTTCATTTTTTCATAGAACTACAAAATATCAATTTACTCATCAACCGATAATCAGCATCAAACTATGAAGATTGTACTACTGGACAGCAGCTTATTTATTTCTCAAGCCATCCAGAAAGGCACCCAATTCGGTTAACGTTGTGAAAGCATAGCCAGAGATTGAAACACACACACAGACATCAATATGCATACATAAGACACACATCATAGCTCTCATCACCCAGAGTTAAATTTCATGCCCAAGACCAACACAACTTAATATCCAATCAACCCATCTGGTGATTGGTCGGATAAAAGTAAAATCCTTAGGTCAGGATGAATTCATCAACCGCACTCTCATTCCCTGGACTACTTTCTTTTTAGTGATACTGATATTCAATTCAAAATTTTCTGAACAAAACCACCAGTGAACTATCATCAAATTTGGCATATTCACACACATGAACTAAGAATCGACATCAGTCATCACATCACGGCAACTTAGGCAAGCTTAAATCACCAATCATCAATAAGCAAGTATTTCTTAGGCTCCTCGCTGAGGCACAAAAGACAGTAAATTATGCATCCCATCCCACAAAAGACAGTAAAGTACGACAGAAGCCACTCGATAATATATTAACACAGAAAGCATATGCCCTACAAACTCGAGATGCAAGAGTCGCATTATAGCAGTAGGCTGATGGAAGATGCATCTTAGGCATCAACCTCAATAAAAGTAAGTCTATTATGTTCATAATAAGGCAAAGCAGAGGAAAGATCCCCACTTCTATCATGCAACCGCGCCTCCTGTTTGATGAAGCATGGCATCTATTTCGTCCCCATCCTCCATTTCCAGCTGCAAACAACAAAAATATAGTGAGAAAAAAAAAATACAGTGAACAGTTATTGATATATGAGCCGTGTTTCCATGGAAATAGAAAGACAAAGGGATACACATAGACCTCATCCGGAGTCTGCTCTGCTCGAAGGCGACGGCCATCAAATAGAAAAGCAATGGAATTAAAATCCACTGATTGTCGGTCACAGTAGGCATTCATAAGCTTCTTCAGTTGAGTGCTTCTCTTAATCCTGAAGAAAACTTCATTCCCATCCTACAACATCATAGTCCGAGGCATAATATTTTATGCTTATTTTACATCTCTAATTTTATAATGGCATCACATAACAAACACATTCAACCAAATCCTAAGATCACATAGATAGCAATACCAAGAATGTGGACGTTTTGCCTATGACTACCACTGTTGGTCTTTTACCCATAATGCTGTTCTTTTTTTACATTCCTTAAAAGTGAAAAACAGAGGCAACGAAAGAAACAAAAAAGAAAGAAAAAAAAAGAAAAAGTAAAATGTTATGAAGTACATAAACAAGAGCGCTATATTTCCTGACACAATGACATTCAATGCCTTTACCCACAAATTCCAGAAATCTAGGAAGAAACTCTTGGACATCATAAAATGACATTCAATACCCATTTGTAAAGTCTACTAACCATGGTCCTATATATAAGTTACTTCTAACTCACTCACCAAAACCAAGGCAAGTTAATTGAAGCAATAAAACTGTCTTAAAAATGAATCGCTTTGCATTTTTACCCCTTACAAACACCATCATTAATTTCCATATTACATTGTAATGTGGCAAGAGGGCATTCATGGAATGACTTATCAAATGATGTACAAGAAAACGAAAAACGACTTATACTAAAAGCCATAACTTTTTTCTCTAACGTGCCCAATATGTCCCTCAATCCCTTTTTAGATGACTCAGTTTTTGAGCAGTATAGTATCCCTCTTAACAAGACCCTTTTCCCAATTCTAGGAAGAATTACAAGTTGCGTACCAAACAAGCTACTTATACATCACTAATAAATACTAATATACTGTTGGTCCACAAGAAAAAACATCCCCGAAAAGCCAGAAGCTCACAGCTCCAGTCTCATACCAAGCAGTTAAATTCTCCACGTAATTCAAAAAAAGAAAACGGATAATAGAATTCCAGCCTCAATTCTTTAGAGGCAACTTCCATTACTCATTCTCATCAAGATGTAATTGACAATAGAAGCAAACAGACATAATGATCAATTCAAAAATTGTCTCTTTGAGGTTCTTCGAGCCTACAAACGTAAGTTGGAGTACAAAGGAGAAAATTGCATGGTACACATGCTGGAAAACACATAATCCCCGATAAGAACTCACTAAAATGTAACAATCAAGGATCGCACAAAAGTCGAAACAAAACACAAGCAGAATTCAAGGGCAGAAAAACTGAGATGCAAGTTCTCTCTATTTCCACCAAGACCAACTACACACCAAAATCTTCCATGCTCCCGGCGATTATGTATAACCCCACCATTCATTCTACCACCTCAAAGCCCACTCATGGATCCCCAGTTCCAAAGAGTCAGTAGGGATAACTAAAATAGTAGCATCAAATGATTCCACTCAAAACAACCCCGAATAGAAGCAAAACCCTAGATTCCACTATCGCCCCCAAAACCCCTCAGTTCGCATTCAAGGGGTAAAAGGAAAATCAAGCTCACATATAAAGGATCAACCACAAACCTGTCCCTTGACCTTAAGGTTGATATGTGCAGCCTGATCGGTGGGCTTCTTGTCCTCCTCGTTAGAGACGCCTGACATCTTCTACTGTCTGGGACTTAAACCTCGGAAATCCAGGACAAAAGATCTGATCGCCCCCGATCACAGTCACAGCAACGACAACGTTTGGTTCGAACGGAGGTCACTGCTAGTTTCTGCTGCGAATTCTTTCCGCCGATAAAGTTTAAACTTTATTTAGAGATGGACGACTGACGGTCGTAACCTTAGCGTGGGAAGAACGATGAAAATTGACGATTCGGATTCTGTTGAAACAGGTAAGATCGGACGGATGAGAAAATCTGTGATTTTCGGGTCAACACGGCACAAATCAGAACTGCTGAAGCGGAT